GTCATAAGTGAAGCATAACAGTAGTAGTACCGGTTATAGACGGGTTTCTAGTTGTTATGGACAGGAAACACTAAATATGACAAAACATTAAATATTTGAATTAACCTTTTTCAGGAGCGGATTTTTCGATAGGGAGCTACAAACAATTAGATGGTTTCAATCATGGAAGACGGTCCCCTCCTGACGCCGGGCGGGTGTGTTTGATGAACTAATATTTTTAGAGGTATTAAAAAGATAAGGACAACTTACTGGGGTTTTTTTACAGTAAAAATAAAAAACATACATGTTGATAAACTTTTAGGGCCCCCTCTCAATGCACTTTTAAAAATTCCGGAGGAAAAAAAAGTGAAAAAAAGGTGTAAAAAGGGCGGTTACGCCCCTTTCCCCCAGTTTTTAAACATTCAAAATTCTGCATTCATTTACCGTTCCCCAGTTTTTCGTCAGACAACTTTTTCTGTCTTAGAAAAATCAGTGCTACAACATATCAATTTTTTTCCTCCGGAGCCTGACTTTAAGATTAATTGCGATTACTTTTGTAGAAAAATAAACAAACAAAAAACAAAAACAAAAAAACAACCCACCAAATTTCATAATAAAAACAAACATAAACCGAAAGGTCCACTGATTAATATCAGATAAGATAGTATGATACATACTAATCAATCAATGATGACATAATTGATGCCTGATGATGACATAATTATGTCGAAATATTGAATCCGACACGATGGCGTGCATTTCGATGCTTGGAGTAGGCCCTATGTATTATACTATCTTAAAAACAAACAGGTTATTCATTATTAAAAAAAAAAAAAAAACAACTTATATAGCCAACCGTTATTCGGCTTTAACAATTATCGGTGTTTTGTGTTGGTAAGTTTGTATGATTAATATGTTTAATATTCCTAACGGAAATGTGATTTAACTTCGCATTAATCTCTTCAGCCACAATACACTCTGGCATGTCACAGTATATTTTTGTATTACTTCAATTTGATTCCATTGGAAATGTTATACCAAATTTATATAACGGATGAGTAAGTTTATGTTATACAACTCTTGAGTAATTTCGCTCGAAGCGGGCGGTGCTTCCCGTACCTCACTAGGTTCTACCCAAACACAGCCCTCAGTGTAGCAGGGCCCAAATAAGCATTAGGCAGAAGCCTCAGGACTAGTCTGTTATGCCTGGTAAGAACCGTCGTTCAAGCTCCTTCTGACAACCTATTTGTTCGTTATAGCATTTGGATCAATTTCCAGTTTATGATAGGCCTAATTATTATTTATATTGTTATAGGCCTATATCAATTAGTATATACAGGTATTTTGATAAATTTAATACGAGGCACTCTGAGCTTATGGCCCCGTAAGGAGAGAAATACTTTACTATTTTAGGGTACTTTCCATTGTCTCGTTATTTTTTGTGAAAATTATGAAATGACAAAGTTCTGCCAGGAGCAAAGAATGTACTGCACTGGGATCAATTTCAGTTATTTCGATGGCCCGGCTCTGACGTCACATATGACTACGTTAAGTTCTTGCAGAACGATCAAGGGGGTGTGAATCCATTGCAGGGTCCGTCGTCGTCGCGATCAAAAGCTCTCTAATAATGACGAGGGTTTTTTTTCTTCACTTATGTTACTTGTATTCATTGAGCAAGGCATACGATAAAAAAAAATGAAACTAATTGCAACGTCAACGACAAATTGCGATTGAACACACAACCTAACCAAGTCAAACTATGAAAATTAGCGAAATATTGCTGTAATTTTGTGACTCTAATATAATACAAGCTTTTGATATTACGCGGACAAAACTAAGCGATAATGATTATCATTGCTTTATACAATTCATAATCTGGCACTGGAATTGACAAAGTAAATTGCCCTCATTCATCGCCTTAAATACTGTACTATAAATATCACGTTTACATTGAAAACAAAATGATGAGCCTTCAACGGTAGGCTACCGATCAAGTCCACCAATCGTTCTGCCGATGCTAAATTGGGTCGGATTCACCGGATCAAGGCCTGTTTAGACTTTGGCGGATTTAAATGTGTAATGTCCTGTAACGTATAATCATAATGCTGTATTATATTAGTGTAAATTAGGAGAGGGCGATTTAGAGAAGCATTCGTTACGCAAACGAAAAGTGGTACGGTAGTAGAACTGGTGACGCGCTTCCAAAATATCTTTTCGGGTTGGACAGCAAGCATATCACAAAAAATACCGCTGATTGGTCAGTTGAATCGGGGAGCCTACCCAAATTCGTCAGGGAGAGCTACGGAGTGAAAGGGTTGCAGTGAATTCACGGACAGTTACGACAGTTCTGTAGCAATTTTATGGAAACAGATTTTAGAATATTCGTGGCTTTAGCTACCATGGACTCCAGACATCTTTGATTCATCCAAGTGGCAGCTACTGCCAACCAGACGTCCACACAACGTCTTTTATTGATGAGGCTCGCAATTCGTGGTACATGCCAATTCCTTTAATTTGGCCTAGTTAGTACATGATTCAAGCTTGCAAAAAAGCCAGCCAGGTGTTCTTTTACGTATAATATTGATCTTGTACTTAAAATCTTACAGACTGTTGAGTAAACAGGTACTGATGGTAATCCCTACGTCCATCACTCGGTTAATTTTCAAACATGAATGTCAAAAATTGTCTCCTCATTAAATTTAATGAGCATTCACGTAATAGGATGCAGATAGAATTCTTTCAAAAAACAGCATCTTTACGAGTGCGCGAGACGGAGAAGAAAAGTGTGAAAAAGCTTGGTGGGGGAGGGAGGGAAGCATGTAATCCAACAACGTTTGCCAGTTTATAAGTAATCACATATTATGTTTAATAAACTTTATCCAATACACATCACATAAGATAAAGAAAGTATTCTTGTTCCGGCAGGGATAAAATTGCATACATTTATTTTAATTGTCACATACATTCGAACAATTTTGACAGTATAAAATGGAATTAATCATTAATGTGTTACCAGTTAAATCATCCCCAATAAACAAGGATCTAACTCGATAGTTTATGATCGTGTCCTTTCTATGTTCTGTAACCTATTTATATCACAAAGCACCTTAATATAAAAAATAAATCCATCACCAATCTAAGGCACAGGTGAAGATTTTCATAACAGGCTACATTCACAATGTAAACAAATCATTAAAATAAAATATAAATTTAAAAAAATGGACCATTTTTGTATTGAAAAACTAGGCCTACAATAAATTATCCTGATCGTCATTATCATTATTCAATATATCGTTATACAACTACTGTAGGCCTACCGTGTCTGGAATATATACTGTACTTTAAATATTTAAGTTAACTGTGGATACTACAGTATGATAATAAACTGTAAATTAAAGACAAACAGCACTTTTTAGACTAACAAGTGTTATTAATGTAGGAGCTTTCAACCACACAGTAGTCTTCAGTTGGTGAATCAATTCATCACATTCACCTGATGAAGACACTGTGTGGTCGAAACTCGTGCAACAATAAAATTTGTTAGTCTGAAAAGTGTTGTTTGTCTTTAATCTACTGTGTATCATCTAGACTAACACACTTACACTTTCTACTTCATCATAATAAACTGTGTAGGCATATAATATATATGATATATTAACTTTAACAAGAACCAATGGATTGGGGGTTAACGACTTTCTTGAGTTGTTCTTGCATTCAAAAAGGACACGTTTTTAAATTAAATCAAGGAACATACACTTAGAAATAGGCCAACGATTTAGTACTTTTTTGTTATATTAGTTATTAATTGGTTGCACATTTATGTTATTTGTTGCAGTTACTTCGGAATGACATTGAAAGTAAAGTAAAAACAAATGTTAACAGTTGCTCTATACTTTAGGCATAAATAAAGAGTAATAGGGAGTTTTCGCAAGTTTACGAAAACGATAATGAATACGGTTACGTCATCAATGTTTTAGGCCACCCTTCCCGTACAGTTGCATATCTGTCACAATGAGGCGGTTCATGCGTTTTGCATGAATCTAGGATCTTATTCAGCTCCTGCAGCATATTCTCAAAAAAGTTTTAGGTTCGCATGACGATAATGATGACGTATACCTATTCGTTATCGTTTTCGTAAGGTTGCAAAATCTCCCTAACACCATGGAGAAAATAGAACAGACTCTATGCTAATACGATTTCGTAATTACAGACGACATTAATGTCACATGAGGTTAAGTAGGCTATGAGGAAAATTGTCTTGCGTGAAGTACATCGTGCTAAAATCCCACACATCACATTCTTCACACTATCTATAACGAGAGCACACAATATATCTCAGGTACATCTGGACATACTAATATTAAAGCTTGGTTTTCGTTAACATGCACACTTTTATCAGAATTAAAGGCAAAAGGCGGTTCTTCGATTCCCTCAATCCACTTGCAACAAAATTGAGGTCTATTAAGTCACAGACCCTATATCACGCCTTACGTAAATCACCTGATTGAAACAAACTTGGTACACTACATTTGATAACCAATACCAACATGATAATATAAAATCTACCATGTGTGCAACAGGCTATAAGTTAAGCAATCATTTTTTTCAGTAATGATAACTTCAGCAAATACAAAAATACATTTATATTTCGTGAAACGATTCATTAGAATTACAAAAATCACTATAAAACGTGGGAACATTCATAAACTTGTGCGTATTTGTATTAACACTAGTTTTGTGTATGTGAATATGTACTCGTTTGTCTTCATGTTTATAACGATAATGTGGGTGCATATGATGGAGTGATGATGCGGATGCATATGATAGAGTGATGATGTGGGTGCATATGATCCAGGATTTAAAAAAAAACCCCAAAAATTAAAGGGGGGTGGGGTCCTCCCCCGGGAAAATTTTGATTCATAGATTTGCCGGAAATGAGCTTTCCCAACTTCTGAGGAGTCTTTAAATGACCTTTAAGTTCTTCAAAATTCGAGGTTCCCCCTCTTGAAAAAAGGTCAGGTAATTTTATCTCATTCTTTAGGCCTATCATAGAGGAAAAAATCAAAGGTAGACGATATATTATTATATTCCAACAACACTGAGTAGTTTGATATGTAGTCTTTCTTCCATGGATCGATGAACCAATAAGCCTGAAAAACGCACTTTCGTATATAAATTATTACGACGGCGCACCAAAAACACTGTATAATTAAATTGAAAACTAGTTGGGCTAAGCCTAGTTTGTCTGATCTTCCAACCTATGTCTAGGTAGGTTAGCATGCTTTTTGTAAGCCAGGACCCAGTTGTATTCTTTTACATTTCTTCACAGAGGAGGGTTCATCCGAACCCCTTGAACCCCCCCCCCACCCCGGATCTGCCACTGATGATGGAGTGATGATGTGGATGCATATGATGGAGTAGTGATGTTAGTGCATATAATGGAGTCATGAGATGTGCAATTTAAATGTTCTTAACAGTGTGGAATAGGTTGATAACTTGATATAGTCTCCATTCACCATATTAAATATATTTAGAAAAAATTACAAAGTACTTTATTACTGAAGTTGCTTAAAATCATACTTTTTTTATTAAACCTAATTAAATTTAAGTATTATCCATCCTCTATAAATAGAACATTAGGGAGCTTTCGATTTGTGCGACGACTCGACGCTAGAACGGAATCACTCATGCGTGACCGTCCTACCTGACGTCCTGCTTTCTCTGCATACGTAGATTTAGCCAAATTGCGTTACGAAATCTACTCGACGAGGTTACCTTAACGTTCTCGCATGCGCAGATGACTTTTAGTGACGTCATTATGTTCTACGTCCTACCGTCGTTGTGCAATCGTGCAAACAGATTTAGCATATTTTTCTTCTTTGTGTCATGTGGAAACAAAGGCTGACATTTGCTTCCTCCACTTTCTTCTCTCTTACATTTCACATCTTGCTCTGACAAGTTTGCCCATCCAACAGATCTTCTTTAAGTGTTAAGTTCTGCCCTTTTTTTTCTTCGAGTGTCTATGTAAAAGCTACATTTATACTAGACACCATTACGACACAACAACGACACGATACAGATGCGCGCAGTGTTGAAGAATACAAACTATGCGATGATATGTCGTTGTCGTGTCGTTGTCGCATCGTTATCGTGTCTAATGTAAATCTAGCTTAACCGAAATAATTTGGTCACATGGCCAATCAATGCCCATCTAACCCAAAACATAAGCCGAGCTCACACTCACGACCATTTCACTGAAAGACGGAAGTCTTTCCATTGCTTCAATACTTCCAATCTAATTGTTATTACAGAATTATTGCAGAATCAGTGGTAAACACATTATCAACAATATATGTCTGTATCTATAATCTATACTGTAATTTTCAAATTGTATCCAAAAAATCAGTTCATACAATCATCTACAAAATTGAGGGGAAAATATAAAATTTTAGCAATATCAAAATCAGGTGATGATAATATTAATACGCTTAAAGAAAAAAGACCATCAATTCATAAACACAGCGAATGTTATTGTGGACAGAAATACTCATTTAACACGTTATATCCAATACCGGTAAACTAACATCGGAATGTAGGACACGGACTGCACAGGTCATATTGCTCCAACCAATAGAAAGCAAGCACTTCCAATTTTGTTTCGCATTTAGCCTCATCGTCTAAAAATATCTAAAGTATCATAAGAACCAGTATGCATGAAATTTCGTGCGTAATAGATATCCCTGAAACACGTGTAAGACATCACCATCACATAAACAGTTTATGGTATTAGGATTTGTAATACAAAATCATATTTTCAAAATTTGCATTTTTTCTAGGTTAATGTTTACATTCTGAGCTATCTCTACATTTTGTGATCATGTTTATCTTTGGAAAAATCACAATCATCATAATTTAAATATAGTTTGAAATATCACTGTTAACAATATTAGAAACCTTATACAAAAAGTGTATACATTTTTTCAGCATGATTCGCCTTGAGAATGAACGATTCTTGTATTCCTTTTGAGTTGAAGTTAAAAAAACACCACCCAATAAAGGAATCTAACTCCATGATGAAAACAACTGCGACTGATGGTTAATCAAATTTCACTCTGTAAATGATAAAAAAAGAAAAAACGTTCATTTTGCTATGATTCTTATTGTATATGGTCTATACATAATATATGAAATTTTAGTTATGGTATATTTTTGTTTTTGCAGGCCTCAGAAATAAATTAGGTTTATAAATTAATAAAGGAATCTACCTCCATGATAAAAACTGTGACTGATGGTTAATCAAATTTCACTCTGTAAATGATAAAAAGAAACCTCGAAAAAACCGTTGATTTTGCTATGATTCTTATTGTATATGGTCTATACATAATATATGTAATTTTTAGGTTATGGTATATTTTTGTTTTTACAGGCCTCAGAAATAAATTAGGTTTACCGGTATATATAAAAATAATACAAAGATTTGTTTCATCTAATTTTTTTAAACCATATTTATAGGGTAACCCTTCTAACCTATCCTAGAAGGGTGGCTGATATTCAGGGGCCCTCTTTAAATATATGAAATAATGTGATGCTTTTGTCAGCAAAGTCACTCTATGAGGCTTAGGAAGTGGAGTTTTTTTAGTCGTAAGAAAAAGTCCTACTGTCACAGGAATAGAACTCTATACATATATTATACATACATACTCCCGCATTTTTGCAACCCATTATACATAAACAACCCTTTGGAGCTTTTTCCATTAGCTCAAAACCCCTTTACATTCATTTAGCATGCCTGACTGGTGCGCCTAATCTTACATAAGGCGATAAATTATGGTGGCCGAGAAAAACATGTTAGGTTAAGGGTCACGCTTACTTTCCTCGCTTAATTGAATTTCAAGATGGTCTAAAACATAGCATAATTAAGGTTGCAATCCACTTTAATCTTAATCATGTGGTACTGAAGTTAAAAAAAAAAAAGAAGATGTGTAAAGATCGATAAATTTCATTTCTGTTTATTGCCACAAAATCTTGTCCAATGAATTATAATTCTCACAGATTACGGAAAATGCCAACTGATTGGTTCAGATACAACTTTCATATTTTCAATAATATAAAAAAAATGTTCTAACAGTGCACTATTGGCAAATCTACTTTATACAATATGTCAGTCCAATGCACATGCATACAGTAAAAGGGAACATAGTGGACAGAAATAGAACAATAAGAACAATAACTTTAAACATACATCATATTTATCATTTGTATATGCACACACTTAAAAAAAAAGAATTTACAACCATTAAATTAAGTATATTATTAAATAATATTTACCTTTAACCAGTAAAATAGCCTAGAACCTAACTGTATGACCAAACTGTCTCTAATCCAAAACTATGTTAATTTCTCGAAAAAGCAGTCAGGGGTAAAATATGGAGATTTGATGGCAAGGTTAAAAGTGCATATGTTCTAGGGATTAACTTTAGATTTGTAAAACATTTCTTGGCTGCAGCAGTAATATTTTGCATTGCAAGCATAAGCTTGAATTATATATATCAGGAAGAATGAACCTAACTGGCATACAAAGTTGGGAATAAGCTTTGTTTCATAAAGCGGAAATATTTTAATGACAGCAAAAGAAAATAAAATCTCAAAATTTTAACCTAAGTTTCATAGAATGATGTCCTATAGTTCAACCACAAAAAAACAAAACTAAAAGACTAAAAATAATTTAGTAAATTAGAGTTACCATACTATAAGGAAGTGTGTCTGGATCAGTAAAAAATTTAGACCAAACAAATAATGAACCTAAAAAAAGTTCCACAATTTCATATTTCTGAATGAACTCTGAATTCATTAATTACAGTTATGGGATCTGAAGCTATCTGCTCAAGATTAAATCTCCCGACAGTCAGACTTAACTTCATCAATGAAGCAAATTAATTGTGGACGGAGGCATCAGCGTGTACCACAGCGGCAGAAGATGTTGAAGTGAGCCTGATCCCGGCTCTTCATAACTACCGTCATCCCGAAGAGCCAGGGGGATCCCGTAATTGATTGGCGATCAATTACCGCATGTCAGGTTGCTCAATGAAGATGCGTATACCTACGGATAATGATACTCGTAGGAGGACGGATCACTCTCCAAGGTTGACGTGAAGCACTCCAATATTCGCAAAACCTCAAATCATTTTGAATGTAATCCAGAGCATAATTTCACTTTTTAATTGCTTTAAAATATTGATAAGTTTAAAGAAATGTGATATACACAGAAAGTATAAAGGCATGGCCTTCGGGATCTGTCAGAAAATAAGTAAATATTAAAGTGAATAAATATAAAATAAATAAGTGAATAAAAAAAAAGTAAATATAACAGTATAAATTAAATATAAAAACAAATAAGCAAATTAGAAAATAAATAATAAACTTAATTGAAATTTGGAAAAAAGAAGAAATTAATCTAATTTGATAAGATAATTAAAAACCAAAGGATCGATATTTCAAAAAGGTACTGAATAATTTAAATTAGAAATTCATTGAACCGTATAATTAAAAACTACAAAGACATGAAGGGATTTTTTAAATTCCCAATACCCTATTTTCCAAAATGTATGTATAAATAACATATTGCTCAATAGTCTTATACATTATTACAAGATCTGAAATTGAGGTATTGGTGATGTTGCATGGACCTGTAAATGCAGTAAGTTGAGTTGATAGGTTGTATAATATTCATTGCATACGGTTTGAATCTTGCTGTCCAAGGAATACTGGGGGCTTTGCATATCAATTATTATCAGCCAGTATTTTGCAAATTCATGAAAATGGCTTTACGACCAAGCATGGCTAAACCACAGCATTGTTTTGGACAGATATGAAAATAACTATGTATAATATGCTATAATGTCTCCAAATCTCATAGCAAATTGAATACAAATAAATATTAATCATTGTATTATTCTATAATGATGACAAAATTATTTTGAGACGTGCAGAATCAAAAATTAAATAATCATACACATTCTTATTTTGTTTAATAGGTTTCTATAATAATAATTATAAATTTAAATTTATTAATTATTTTCTAAAATTGTATTCAAATTCAGCTCACAACATAGAACAAACAATAGTAAAAAGCCATGTAGAGGAAATCAGGTGAAAGTACACCTATACTAGTTCATCCAATGTAATAGATGTTCCTATTTCTAGAGGAAGGATAAGAGTCTCCCAGAATCAAGTAAACCAGAATCAAGCAATAAACCCAACAGATTTCTTCGGTGTGAAATAAACCAAGAATAACCCAGAAGTCAGAAAAAGAAATGGAGTCCTTCTCATGGTGAATTGGGCAGACAATCCCCATTTTTTTCTACAGTGTATACTACATTTGACCATATTGCACCGATGGATTAAATGTCTCATCCAAAAGAGGGTACACTATCGAAACTTGCATTTATGCCTTCCAGCTGAAACACAAAGGAGAGCAGAGGAGAGAGTTGAACCAGGGCCCAAGGTTGTGTAAAGATCTTCAGTTCAACACAAACACAGTACTCTAGCTACCAGCAGTTTGCCAACTGCTCTCTCTATAATAACGATCATCAACCTATTTTATTTTATAAATATAAATTCACAAAAGTTAACAACAGCTGTCCAATCAATCAATCAATCAATACATTTTTAATTAATTGGTTTACATTGTTTCTTGTTTAGTATTTGCTTTCTTATTCATAAGCGGTTACTTAGTAGCCAGTGTGGGGAAAATTGTACGTCTTATTTGTTATGTTACCTTGAAATAGCTGGTACTGTAATTATAGCAAATGTTGATACTATTCACAGAAATATTATCTAATTAAATAAAGATATATAAATTTAACTGATACAATATACCAAATGTTTTTCGGATGACAAGTTGATGTACTACGTTAATATAACGCAATAAATTAATGACGTAATATACCACATCCTAAATTAAAAAACAGAAGCTAACATTAAAACAAAAAGAGAAGAGAAGACTGCAGGTAAAATATGGATGCACATGAGTCTGAGTGATACCAGAAACAAGCACAATAAAGGCATTATATTATAAACAAGGCAATGAAGGCAGATAAAGTATCTAGTCGTAACGCATTAAGCGTGTCTTCATGTTGATGTATCCTCCACTGTGGGTCACGCACAACAGCTTTGGTGAACTTGACCTTATATGCAATCTAGGGCATTGGGATTTCTGCATATTAAAACACAATGGCATCATCATTTTTTTTATATCTCCAACTACCTTTGATGTATTGTTGTTCCCATGTAGTACTTAACAGACGCCAACATTAGAGTTAGTCAAAAAGATAGAGAGATCTCACAAACAGGTCGAGATTTGATGTCTATAATACCATAAAAGATAAGTTTGACACAAGGCTAATCTGCTTTCATTCTAAGGAAAGAGGGCGAAAAATCCCAGTGTCTCAAAACAGACAGCGGCATGTATTGAAGTTTCATTAATATTTACATAATGTAAAACCTTGAATAGAAGGCCCATGGGCGTAATCTCGAGAAGAAGCCATCTTGAAAAGAAGCGCCCCTCTTCATTTTGGAAAAGTTTTGTCGTCTCGAAAAGAAGCCCATGGGCTTATAATCAAGATAATATGGGCTTCTTTCAAGATAGTTCTTACATTCATACTGACACTATCTTTGATTTGATAGCATATCAGTATCAATATTATTTTGTTAGAATTGAATTTAAACAGAATTTTGAATTTCATAGTTGAAAAATGTATAGTAGTAAGTACAAAAATTACAACATTCAGTTTGAAAAGAAGCCCTCCTCTTTAGTTAGCAAAAGTAATCTTGAAAAGAAGCCCATCTTGAAAAGAGGACCATTTCGAAAAGATGCCCACCCAAGGGTCCTAAAAAAAAAGATATTCGAGGATTTGTGGTATATGACATGAAGACTCATGTTCTTTTTTGACAATCCTAAAATTATTCACTTGGTTGTTTCCAAAAAAAGATTTCAGGGGGTTTCTTTATATCTTCTACCTGAATAATTTAATTGTGTTTGATAATTACTCTGTCACTGGTAGAAGGGAAATAGTACATGATACCATCAGATCATATGAAAGGAAGTATATTAGGTATGAAAATAGGTTTACATGAATAGACCTTTTGATAGGGGCTTTTGATATTAGTTGAATTCAAGGGTAGCTAAAGGTGTTGTCTATTCTCCTTGAAAAATATCTTTTGCTGATCCTGGATAACAATTGGTGATATTATAAACCTCGGCAAAAGTCTTTGATGATGCAGTTGCCCCTCCTACACTCGGCCAGCAC